CAAAGGGGTCCAGACTGGGCTGGTTTAACACACAAAAACAGCTGATCTGAACAAGGGATAGCTCTTGGACCCCAAAGTGATGGCTGGGAGGCCAACATGGGACTGATCCAGCCCCCCTGAATGTGGGTGTCAGTGAGGAGGCCTTGGCAATCTATGGGGCCTTGGGTAGTAGATCAGTATTTATCCCTGGCATACAAATGAACTTTGGGTGCCCATCCCACAATGAGGGATGCTCTCTTAGCCTGGAAAGAAGGGGGAGGGCCTAGGCCCTGCCCTGAACAAAATGACAAACTCTGGAGATTCCCCCATGGAGGGCTTCACCCTCACTGGGGAACAGAGTGGGGGGGCTGAGGGGCCTGGGGGCGGGGGAGGAGGGGAGGGAGAGGGACCTGGGATTGACATGTGAAACAGGCTTGTTTCTAATTAAATTTTTAAAAAGTTAAAAAAAAGAAGAATAGTCACACCAGAAAGAAAACCAAACAGGAATTCCATAGTGAAGACCAGCAAAGTGGTCCAGCTACTGTGAAAAGTGAGTCAGAATTAAAACAAAGGAAAAGAAAACACAGGTGGAGTGTGTCCTGCTGGGAAGTGACAGAGCACCAGTCCCAATCCCAAACTGGAGACACAGAGAAGACCCCACCGTTCTGAAGCCGTCCCACTGAGTAACATTTACAGCAGCTATGCCATTCTTGCTGTTTGCAGAAAGGCTTTATAGATATCTTGAGAATACAGTCGATATAGAAAGAGGCCTGCTGCTTGGCTTTTTTACTGCTAAGCTATTGATATTTTAGGATAGTAATTGAACTTCTCAGTACTAACTTGTTTTCTCCATGAGATAAAATTCCCCAAAGATTAGTGAGTTTTCAGGGCATATGTAAAAGTACCTTTAAATCCAGTGCCTGACTGACATTTGTATTTATCAGCCTTTGAGAGAGAGGGAGGCAGCCTAACATGAAAGTATTCTTCCAGTTTAAACCTGTTCTTCCCTCATCTTACACATAGGTATACCTATGTACATCTTGACTTTTTTTTTAAGAATGAGAACCAAAAATTGGGGATTTACTTTTTTTAATTAACAATTGATATTTCTCCAAAAGAACATGATCTGCTTGCCTGCACTGAAAAGCTGCTTTTATCCCACACAGTCCAGCTGTTATTCCCAGGTTGCTGAAATAATGAGCACTGTTAAATAACAGTGTTTAAATGAGCCACCACGGCTCATGACCACATTTGATTCTGTGCAAATTAAGGCCTCATTCAGAAGGGTGGTGTCCCTTTGCACCAGTGTCTCTACCCTCCAGTACCCACAGTGCCCCCCTGTCAGCAATAGTGGGTTATTAAAGCAGCTGGGAAAAACACAGGCCAGTGCTCCCCTAGCCAGCTCTGACAGTAGAGATGAATCACAAACTCACATCTCGCTCATTTCTTTCCTTATTATCACTACTCCACAGTGGCCAATGTTTAAGCTAATGAATGGCACGGTGCTTCTTAGAGACTATATCTTTCATCTAGAGAGACCACTATTGACAGTTTATTAGTTATCTTGCAACAGTGCATTCATGGCATCCAGTCATCAGCTGTACCTTAAGCACCTATTCTGTGGTGGGTCCTATGGTATAGATTATAGCCCTACTGATTTGCCCTCTGACCTCTCAGCTTACCTTTAGTGGGCATATGGTGAGTTAAACAAGCAATGACAACAACATGGACTGTGTAGTGACTGTAGGTAAGGGTGGTGATAGAAACACACAGTGAGGGCATCTAAACAGAAAAGGGCTTTTTAAAAGGAAATAGCATCTAAATTAAGACCTGAAATCATCAGATGAGGGTATATTCCAGGCAGATAATGTCTTAAATCACATTTCTTGGAGGACGGAGGTGAGAGATTACAGTAACTAAAAACTGTGCAGTATGTCTGCAGCGTGGAGTTAAGAGGAGCCACGTGTTCAGAGTTCCTTAGACAGCTTGCTCCACTTTAGAGCATTTGCTTCCTCAAGCTTCAGTGTCCCCTTATCTGAATCCATTCTGCATACTTATTTCTAGGAAAACAACCTTAGCTAATAGTTATAGACAAAATAGACGCTGCCAGGCAAAACTTCTCCCCTCTCCATTTTCAAACATAGAAACTACCATGCAGTCCTAACGGTCTTGCCTGCTTTCTCCAGTCCAACGCTTCACAGCTGACTTATATTCTTTTACATATTCAATCTCCCCTCTTCAAATAATTCAATCCCATAAACTGTAAACATGCTCAAATTTCTCCCATTAAAAAAATCCTCCAAGGGAACAGTGATTTCTTCCTCACAAGAAAACTTCTCTCAAGACATGTGTATTTGTGACCTCCACCTGCTCACAGCCCAGTCATTTCCCCACTGGGTAGTTTATGCTAATGGCATCAACACAGCCATGTTCCTGCATCAAAAATGGCAGTCAGTTTTCCATCTTCATCTGCTTTAATATCTAAAAATACTGACCATGGTGAGACAACCAATTTAAGTGCAGGAAAAGCAAGTAGCAAAACCTCCAAGAGCAGCCCTGTGATTTTTTAAGTTATTATTTGATTGCAGCATTTCTTCCTTCCCTTTTCTCCCTCCAAACCCTCCCATATATCCCTCTCCTCTCTCCTTCAAATTCACATTTTTATACTAAGTACTATTGCATCCATTATATATATACATATATATATATATATATAACCTATTCCATATGTCCTTGAATAAAGAACCAGAGTAATGGGCTATTCCAGGTGGAAAATATAGAAAACAGAAATGAGTACAAAGAAAAATATTTTGGATAGGTGAGGTGGGAAAATAGGTAAAGGCAACTGCTGTCAAGCCTGACAACCTAAGTTCAATTCCAGAATTCATGTGGTAGGAGAAGGTAACAGACTTCTATAAATTGTATGTATGCAAATTTGCACACACGTGCGCACACACACAAACACACTAAACACATGCAAAAAATCTAAAATATTTAAAATTAAAATTATTTAATTTTTGATCAAAACAAAGTTATCTGTAGCTTTCTATAGTCTTCTTCCATTAAGATCAACAATAAAAGGTTGTTTGAATGTTCCATGGCATCAGATACTGATCAGCCCTTGGAAAGACTATGTGAGTGAATCACAAACCAATTTTGCAACTGTCTCTAAGCTTTCTCATGGTCTTCCTGAACAATAAAATGAAAAACTACACTTTGTCTCTAACCTGGGAAGCCATGAGAAGACACCCTCAGAAATGAAGAATTCTAGAGAGTCAGTCAGTCCCTGGCAAGATGCATCCCATTTACTGTTTTGTCCATCACTAAAGACTAGTGAAAGGCATTTGGGAACAGTTGGGTTTAATGGGAAGGATGGGACAAAACAAGATCGAATTGACTTAGATACAGTTAGGCAGTCATTGTCAATTTCATGGTCCTGTCTTTCCCAATCTACACATTTCATCAATGTTCAAATAGACTTAAAAGCAAGATGCCTAAACTTTGACTTCCACCCAAAATGCTAGACAACTAGAAATTAATACATATTATTATTTGCATAAAATTGCTCTCCTAAGACATTTTAGAAAGATGGTGATTTTTCAGGCTTTTATAACATTTCTGCCAACATTGTCACTTGCAATGACTTCATAGAAGCCTAAATATATCAGATTCCTTTCCTTATAGAAAATGCAAATCTTTCTAAACATTCTGGTCTTTACCATTGTGAAAGCATAACATCCTGTCTGCCATTCTATAATGCTCTAAGTCAAGCTGTATGGTAGAAATTTTAAAAAGAAATGCCACCACTTTGCTGATCATTATCATTTTTCTCTTCTGATGGTGCTGGGCAGCATGTCAGATTACACCTGGGATACACCAAGGCTACTTGCCATTCTTCTAAGAATTCATGATTAGGAGCCGAGGTAACAGACAGCACTGTGACATTGTGGACAATTGAGTTGCTGGATTTGGAGGCAGAATTGAATGTTGATTAGTGTCTGTTTCCTTTTTGGGAGAAGAAAAAGTATGTTAAGGTGTTCTTTTTCTTGCTTTTCCCAGATAAATGAGAGAGAAGGCAGCGTGTCATAGCTAACAACTCTCTCGGCTCCATTACTCCTGGCCTAGCATCTGAGAGCAGTAAATGATTTCACTGATTAGAAAATGAATCTTGAAAATTCAAGAGCTGCACAGAATACTGGCCCAGAATTGTACAGGTATTTGAATGAATGCTGGAAAATAAATTCATTTAAAATTACCAGTACACTATTACAGATGTGTATTTTGGCGCAATGATCATATCAGTAATATGGTTAGAATGCTCTCATAATACTAAATGATTTTGAAATTCATGTATGTGTTTCAAATTGTGAATCTATCTCCATTCATATTGATTAATAAGGATACATGCCTTTATTACTGAAATATAGGCCCTTTGGTCAGGAACAAAGTCAGGAAATGAGAGTTGCATTATCTGCTGTGTTCATTACCCCCATGAAATCTGGCCCAATGATTATATAATACAAAGTACCGAGAATCACAAATTTGGAACCCAAAATGTCTCTGTCTCTGTCTCTGTCTGTCTGTCTGTCTCTCTCTCTCCCTCTCCCTCTCTCTCTCTCTCTCACACACACATACACACACACACACACACACACACACACACACACATCTTTGACACACTGAGGCAAATAATTAGACCACAAATGCTCAACAAGAAATGGTCCAAACTAATAGGTTTTCTTTCCATCTCGTCTCCATCAATTATATCTTTGAGGGGAATGATTCACAATCAATTCATGAGGATTTCTTCATTCACTAAGACCAGACAATGAAAGAACATACCATATAAAAACACCACTTGACAAACACAGCCACAAACAAAATCAATTATGTGGATGTTTCTCTGTTTGGCCATGCTGAATCATGACTGAGTCTTGTGATTTGCCAATGAGCATTAAATAATATAAGGTAAAGATAAAATAGAGATCAAGTAAATTAAAAAGACAGAAGGGAATAAGCTTTATCAGTAAAAACATGTTTGTGACAGTTTTGATGGCAAGTTGATAAGGTAGTCTGAGGATAATAATCCAAATAGGCAAAACTAAGGCTAGCAATAAAGCTGTGCAGACCAATTCTAATGGAAGATAAGGCTTTAAGAGCCCAGTTCTGAATTCCTACAACTTATAAAATGAGGACTCTGAGATCCAGAGGATCAGAGCAACTTGTGAAAAGTCACACTGCTGATTAGTTACAGTGAGTAGACTAGAAGTTCATACTGAAACTTTCTCGTTAGCATGAGTAATGGCAAGAAAAAGCATAAACCAAGGATACTATTGCCTCCCCATGAAGAAGCTAAGCTGTTCTTCTTAAAGTTTGAAACACTCTGACTACTTCAAAGGTATCATTTTATACCAGTAAAAGTCAAAATCCCATGAATAAAACACATCTCTGTTTACTCATAATTTTAAAACACAATGATAATATATTAGTAAATTTCCTGAAATGAACTCAACCTGCTCTGTGAAAACTAGTTCCATGCCTCAGTTGTTGCCCTATGTACTGAGTGTAGGAAAACAAAGTAATGCTCTTCGAAGAGCGTAGCAAGTATATTGTATTATTTAATACTCCTGTTAGATGATAGTCATTTTTGCAAGTGGCATCTGGCCAAGATTGCAGGTCTCAAAGAGTACCACAACTGTGTTCAGTCATTGCATTTCCCTCGATTAAAAAACCATATTGAGATTTCTGGAACCCACAGCAATCAATCTGCTTGATTAATGAGATTTTTTAAGCTTTTTGTTTTCCTGGCACTGGCTCTTAAAAAAAATGAGATGCTCATTTCCTCCTCCATTTGTGGTTGCTAGGAAAGTGAGAGATTTGGTGATAAATATTTATTATCTTCCAATTCCTGTCTCCCTTATGTTGGGGTTATTGCTTTATTCAGTTCCAGAGCTAAGGAAAATGTATGCCATGTCATTAATAATAAACAAAGCTGTAGTGTGTGTGCAATAATGAATTAAGCTCATCCCAGTCCATCTGTGCATCACCATTCGCAGGCGTCTTGTCAAGTGAAGGTTCTGCAGAATCCACAGGTCCTCCATCCCCTCATTATGGAAGTAATTTGTGGGAGGAGGCGAGGTAAGCCATAAAACATTATTATACAAAGTTAGTAACTCTTTTCCCAGAGAAGCAGCTGGCCGTGAAGTAAAATTCTAGCTTTTGTTGCTTCAGGTCTAGAAAAATCCACAAGGCTCGATTGATCTTGGAGAAGCCTCCCATATAAATTAAGCAGCTGTATAAGGGTACAAATCAGTCTGGATCTGTTCACTTTTCCTTCTTCACTAATTTAGGATGACTCCCTCAAAGTACTAGCAAGTCTTTTCCAAACACCCTTTTGTAAAAGATTTCAATCACAGCCTTTCTACCATTTCCATCCACTATTCATTCCCTAGCAAACAGCACTGTAAGGTCAGTGTTTTGACAATAAAAGTTTGTTCTCTGTTACTTAAAGGCCGCCACACTTATTTGACCTATACTTAGCATAACGTGTGCCCTAGATCATCTGCAGACTTCTTTTTGAGAAGCAATGTCTACAGGAAGCCATCTCCCTGCCCTTGCAATTTCAACTCATCATGTAAAAGTAATAAGTGGAGGAACCTATATAAGCAAGATAACTTTTATAAATATTTTACACAGATGATTGTATGTTTCCATCTAAAATTGTTTCTCCTTAGATTAAAACACCCTGTAACCCCACAGTCAGGGAATGCACAACTAATAAATACTGAAGTGCCTTTATGAGTGGTAATACCATAAGAGGGTTCTTCTAGGGTTTGTTTTCAGAATGCTTTCATTTCCCCTAGTTCACAAGATCCCGAAAGCAACAAGAATAATGTACTAGTCGCTTACTTATCAAGCTGTCAAAAAACAATCCAACCAACATTTCCGAATACCTACCATAGGACTGATGACATGCTCAGTTCCAGAGATGCTAGAAAAATAAGAAACAGAATTTAACAGAAAGGTCAATGTTCTCCCTGAATCGCTTATACATAGCATATTTTAGAAAGCTAAATTAACACAACACTGGACAGGCACGATCATTTTGTGATATAAAGATGAATATATTAATTTTCAATTCTAGTCTTTTAAATTCAAATCATCTATGTCCATACAAGATTTTAAATTCTTTTGAAACTGTGAATAAACTTCAGGGACCACGGCTCTTTTGTGAATCCAATGCTTCAGTCTGTTTATTATAGAGAAATAAATGACAGCAAATCAAATGACCACATATAAACAAATAATGAACAAGAACTGTATTCTTAATTCTTGAGAAGATTTGACAGCTGTAATATAGATGCATTCTATACCACTGGAGTGGAAAACTTCTAGAAACCATCCATCTAAAAGGATGTTTTCTGTTACTTGTTACTTAGCAGTCAAGTCACACAAGGTTAAAAAATATAATTTCCATATTCCTTATCTAAGGGAACTCAATCAAGCAAGACTCCTTTCAACCTTCATTCGGATGAAAAGAAACAGATGTTAAAAACATCTGTCCTACTTCAAAATAATAATAATAAAACCACTACTGTGATAGCAAAGACAGCTCTGGGTCACTCTATGAGACTTTAGTCTCAACAGAAAAGTGTTTTAAAGACAGTTATTGTAGTTAAAATCAAAAATGATACAGCTCAACATTTTAATTATCAACCTGAAAACCTAGCAATTGGTCATCTCTATCCCATCCCACAACATTAGCACTAATATTCCAACTGAAACTTCCTTATTTGCCTTTTGGGGAACTGAAAAATGCCTGAATACTTGACATTTTTGGTGCAGCAACAGTGACATCCAGTGGGTAGCAAGATTACCCCAAAATTTTTTATAAACTCAGAGGGTTACTGTAGTCCCAAAACTGTTGCTGACTACCATGGTCATGCCATATAAGAGTCATACATTTTTTAACTCTCTTGAGATAACTAATTTGTTATTACAACAGTTAATAGAAAAAGAACAGTTGCATCTTGTCTAATTGACCAAAATATTGCTACAGTTTCATCCGGATTCAATGCCACTTGTTCCAGCAATAAATAAATAAACTCAGAAAATTCTTATTATATAAGCAATATTCTTTCAATATTTGCTTGTCTTCTTAGTAAGTTATTTAATTTATACCATTTGATCAACTGAAATATTTCCAAAAGTTTAAGGAAAGAAATTCAAAAGTGTATTTTTATGTATATTTTCATTATGTATATATACAAATACATACTGCATGCATAAGCATATATTTGCATGTATATTGAATGTGTCTTATATATATAGAGAGAGAGGGAATAGGCTTGCATTTTCTGTTGGGTTAGTAGCTAATAGTTACATAAAACAAATACAATGTTCATGGATTTTTCAGACCTTGTTTTAGTCATCTGTTTCTATCACTATCTGAAGCTACTGCTCCCCTTTCAATGTTAAGTTTCTAAGTATACTTCATTATAATTTCTGGGAACTAGGCAACACAGAAACTTAATCACTCTGAAGAAAATAATTGTTTCCCAGATATGAATTCCTCAGGCTTTTTGGGAAGAGGTTAATTGCCTAGACCCTGAGAAACTATCAGAAGAGCCATGGGCATCGCTGAAATTCCTTGGAGGGTAGAATTAAATTTTAAGGTGTTCTGTGGAAGAAACACTGTTACTGCACTAAAAATGTCAAATAGTCAGGCTTTCCTTTTTTGCCTATGAATTCACCTCATTAGCCCAAATGGCGGAGGGGGTAGGGGACAAGTAAGAAACACTCAGTAATTTATCTGGATACTCCTCAAAAAAGTGATCCATCAAATATAAGATCAGATTTACCACATATAAAATCAAATTTTATATAATTTCAAAGTCAGTAGGAAGAATCAAATTCCTGGGCATTGCTATTAACAAGACAGTCTTTCAAAGGCATTAGAATAGGTCCATTAAGTTTTTTAGATGAATTAAATAATATTGTAAAATATACATGTAATTAAAGGTAAATGAACTCAGAAGAATGCATGAAAACATTAAACAAAATGGGAGCCACTCCCAAGATACTTAATCTGTTGAGTTCACCACATTCAGTGTCAGAGCTACCAACTATGTAGCATGGGAAATATGGTCATTCTGGACTGATGCATTTTAAGTGTAAACTGTGTAGTTGATTTAAGGTAATAGTAAAGAACAACAGTATTAAATAATATAGTGAAATAAAAGTCATATATGACAAGCCTGAAGCTAATTTTATTATCTCTGGGCAAATAATGAAAGCCTGAGCCAAAAGTAGGCAAATATGCCCAGCTCATCAATTACCTTCAATATAGTATGAGAGGTTTAGGGAGGGCAATCACACAAAAGAAAAATGACATCCAAACTATAAAGGAAGAAGCAAAACCACCCTTCTGTACAGATGACATGATTTTTATACACAAAAAACCTTTAATGTCTTCACTAAAAACAAAATGCTAAAAATAATAAATCCAGTAAGACAGATGAGTACTAAAATAAATCAGTATTCCTTCTAGATACTGTCAGTGTACTTCATGAAAAAATTAAACAACACACACATACACACAAGCAAACAAAACTCTTTGGTTAGGCATGATGATGCATGTCTTTAATCCCAGCACGTGGAAGGCAAAGGCCACCCTGACCTATAGAACGAGTTCCAGGATAGCCAAGGCCCAAGGCTACACCAAGGAGCTCTGTCTCAAAAACCAAAGAGAAACACAACTTGGGAGTAAGTCTAATCAGAAAAATGAGGGCTTCTAATAGTTCAGCATAAAAGAAAGTGCCATCAACTCTGACAACCTGAGTTTGATCTCCAGGATACACATGTTAGAAGTAGAGAAAGACTCCCACACGTTATCCTCTGACCTTTGCATGTGTGTGTGTGTGTGTGTGTGTGTGCATATGCATACAATATGTAAAAGCCAATTAAGCAATTTTAAGTAAAGAATTTATACACTTTAAACTATAAAACACTGAAGAAAAAGTGAGGAAAGAAAAGTGGAAATATGGCACATACTCATGGATTGAAAGGCTGTTATTTAAATGTTCATACTACCTAAAGTAATTAATAGATTTAGTATGATTGCTATAAAAATATCAGTGATATTCCTCACATAAATAGAAAAAATAATCTAAAATCCTTATGAAACTATATGTAATACATATTAAATAGCCTAAGCATCCTTGAGGAAGATGGAAGTTGAAAGCATCTTATAACCTTAGTTCAAAAGATATCATAAAGCTATAGTAATCAACATCATTAGCTGGGCATGGTGGCACATACCTATATGCTTAACACTTGGGAGACTAAGGCATAGGGATTGTCATGAGTTCCAGGCATTCCAGAGATAGTATCATCTAAACCCTGTTGTCCCTGCCCACCAAAAGTAAAAAACACTGTATCTTCAAAATCCAGATCTTAGCTTAGCTCTTGTCATTGGCATAGCCACACATTATCACTCACCTGGCTAAGAGAAGCTTAACACCAAACGGGTTTGACTCCAACACCCTAAGTTAGGGTTCCTCAGGCTGGCCAAAGAGCTCTCTAACTCTGTAAGGCAATTAAACAGTAAGAGAGAAAGCACAGTAAAAAAAAGATTGGACCCAAAATTATGACTTCACACTCAAACCCCTACAGAGAATGCTTTCAGAGAAGACTTGGCAAAGAAATTATAGCACATTGCTCACAGGACCACTAAGGGAAAACAAGCCCTAGGGATCTTAAACACACTGGTGAAGTGAAAAAGTGCAATAAACAACCAACAAATACCATTTGAACTCATTCACATGTAGAAACTGAAAAAAGAACTCATAAACATACAGTAAAATAATGGTTACCAGAAGCAGGGTTGAGATGGATAGTAGAGAGATGTCAGTCAAAGGTTAAAATTTTTCAGTTAAATAGAAAGGAGAAGTTCAGGAGATCTGTTGTACAATATGGTGATTAGAGTTAATAATATATTGCACACTTGAAAAGGATAAGAAAATGGGTTGTAAAGTGTTTTACCACAAAAATGATAACTATGTAAGGAAATGCATATGTTAATTAGCTGGAGTTAGTCATTTAATGATGCACACATCATTCAAAAGATGATGTTGTACACAGTAAATAGATGCAACTTTATGCCAGTATAAAAATAAAAGTTAGAGATGCAAAAATAGTATCTTGATTATGTGGTAAAATGACAGGATTTCAGATGTACTTGATTAAATACAATACATTATCAAGATTATTTCAGGGGCTGTGAATGTTGTTAAGTGGTAAAGCACTTTCCCAGCAATGCAAGATCACAGGTTCAATACACAACATGGGAAAATTGTATTATATATTTATTCTCATTTTAATGTGGTTACTATTAAAGTGTTTAAATGCAGATGTGCTATACCTCTATTATATAGCATTGCTCAAAGTAATATGCAAGGATGAAAACATATTAGCTCACAAAAAAAATTATTCACAGATAACAATATACCCTTATCATTTAATGTATTTATCTACTCCTCACCTGCCCTAGGGAAGCTTCTTGCTTTTGAAATTCACATTATTTAAGTATATTTAAAATTAAAATTAGTAAATACAATCTCTACGATTACCCATTGGCCATACAGGTACAAGGGAAGAGAGGCATGCAATGGTTAAACATATAAATCCTGAAACAAAAGTAAGCAAAATCCAATTCTAGGCTTGCCCTTTACTAGTTGGACAATGACAAGTAGTTTATTCAAGCTTTTTGTGTCTGTTTCCTTTAATGGAAATAACAATTGAATAAGTGAACATGTTGAGGATTACTATTTATATTAAATCACTCATGACAGAGTGTCAATCACAAAAATATTATTATTAAGAATACATCTAGATTATGATTTATTGACAGCTCAAAGATGAACAATGAACATTTGATACCTCCAAGTATTATGGGAACTTTGAGAAGTATTGACTCTACATACCTTTAAAATTTTAGTGCACTCATCAAATAACACAATTTATATAATAAGCTTTCCTGAGGAAATAAATTATTTGCAATATTTGCTGAATTCATATTATTTGATTCTTTTTCTATGAAATCATCTTTTCCCTTTCCTTTTACTGCTATACTATAACACCTATATCTTCTGTCCTCACTACTCAAAATTTAAAGGTCACCCATTTGAACATTTCACTATTCTATATGGGTCTAAAAAGCAGTTTTCACCTTATTTCCCTTCTAATCCAAAACATTTCTCCTTCCTAAACACATGTGCCCTTTTCAGTTCTGCAACACGTTTCCTGTCTCTCTCACAAACCTCTCCATCTATTTTAGTCTGCCTTGTCCTCCTTCCCAAATGCTCACAGTTCTCGTTCATCCAATTAATGTTTATTGCCTGCTTACATCAAAATCAGGACCCAAAATACCAAGAAAAATGAGACAATAGGGCTATCAGAAGATGGAAAGATCTCCCATGCCCATGGATCAGTAGGATTAATAAAGCAAAAATGGCAATCCTACCAAAATCAATCTACAGATTCAATGCAATCCTCACCAAATTTCCAACACAATTCTCCATGGAAATTGAAAGGAAAATTTTCAGGTTCATATACAAACAAACACACACACACACACACACACACACACACACACTCAAGCTAAACAATCCTGAATAATAAAAAAAACTGCTGGAGACATTACCATCACTGACCTCAAATTGTGCTGCAGAGTTATAAAAACAGCATGGTACTGGCACAAAAACAGACATGTTGATCAATGGCATAAAATCAAAGACCCAGGCATTAAGTTGACACACCCATTGTCACCTAATTTTTGATAAAGGAATCAGAAATACACAGCGGAAAAAATGGACTGGATCTTCAACAAATGGTGCTGGTAAAAAAAAAAAGAATATCTGCATATAGAAGAAAGTAAATAGATCCATATTTATTACCCTTCACAAAACTCAACTACAAATAGATTAAGGAGCCCAACATAAGATCATATATACTTCCCAGGTAGGACCTGGGAAGAAGAGAGGGGGTGAAGAGGAAGAGAGTTGGTCATTGGGGAACAGGAAGTTGAGGGGGTGGGGGTAGAATAGGGGAAAGAGGGAATCATAGGATCGAATACAGATCAGGCACCAGAGCGACCTCGAGTGATCGATCTAAAGGGATAACACCAATTGGCAAGCTAAGCAATAATGGAGAGACCACATCGAATGCCCATTCCTGATAATGAACTTGATGTCTATAACCATCCGGGAGCCTTCATCCTGTGACTGATGGAAGCAGAGGCAAACACACAATCACTGAACTGAACCCAAGGAACCCAGTGACAGAGAGAGAGGAGTGATGAGCAAATTGGCAAAGAATGGGCTGGCAAAACCAGCAGAGACAGCTGATCTGAACAGGGGAGAGCTCTTGGACCCCAGACCGACAGTGGGGAGGCCAGCATGGGACTGATCTGGACCCCCCAAATGTGAGTGTCAGTGAGAAGGCCTGGGCAACCTATGGGGCCCTGAGCTGTGGATCAGTGTCTACCCCTGGTATACAAACAGTCTTCGTGTGCCTATAGCACAAAGAGGGATGCTCTCTCAGCCTGGACTCTTAGGGGAGTGCCTGGACCCTACCCAGAGTAAAATGACAGACTCTAGATATCCTATATGTGGAAGGATTTGGCAATAGGGTGGGAGGGTGGGGGGGGAAGGGGAGTGCCGGAGGAGGGGAGGGAGAGGGAACTGGGATTGACATGTAAAACAAGCTATTTAAAATTAAAATAAAAAATGATAAAAAGATGATATATACTGAATCTGATAGAAGAGAAAATGAGGAATAGCCTTGAACTCATTGGCACAGAAGTCTTTCTGAACAGAACACCACTAACACAGGCACTAAGATCAACAATTATTAAATAGGACCTCATGAAACTGAAAATCTTCTATAAGGGAAAAAGACACTGTCATTTAGACAAAGCAGCAGCCTACAGAATGGGAAGTTTTTTTATCAAGTACACATCCTACAGAGGACTAATATTCAAAATAAATAATTTTTTAAAAACTAGCTATCAAGAAAGCAAAAATCCAACTAAAATGGGATATGGATTTAAACAAAGAACTCTCAAAACAGGAAACTCAAATGGCTAAAATACTCAACATCCTTAGTCATTGGGGAAATACAAATCAAAGCTATGATATTTCATCTTATATCCATCAGAATGGCTAAGATCAATAAAACAAGTAACAGCTCATGCTGGTGATAGAGTAAGGGGAGCACTAATCCATTGCCTGTGGAAGTGCAAGCGTGTACAGCTACTATGGAAAAAAAGTGTAGAGTTTCCTCAAGAAGATGGGAATCAAGGTACCACTCAGGCATATACCCAAAGAACGTTCCATCCCACTACAGAGACACTTTCTCAATGATAATCGTTGCGGCAGCTCTTTTCAAAAAAGCCAGAAATTGAAGCACCGATAGGTGAACAGATAAAAGAAATGAGGTACATTTACATAATGGAGTATTACTCAGCCATTTAAAAATTAAATCATGAAATTCATAGCTAAATTGATGGAACTAGAAAAAATGTCATCCTGAGCGAGGTATCCCAGACCCAGAAAGGTAAATATGGTATGCATTCACTTTTATGTGGATATTAGCTGTTAAGTCAATGATAAGCAAGCTACAATCTGTAGAATCAGAGAGAATGGGTACTAAGTAATAGACTAGGGACACAGATAGATCTCATTAGGAAAGGGAAATAGAATAGTTATGAATGGACTAGGAGGAGAGACAGGAGGTATCACACAGGGAGTGGGAAGGAAGAGAGGAATGACAGAGGATAAGAGAAGGGAGAGCTAAAGTCAAGGAGCATATGAGGGGTAGTATGGAAACCTATTACAATATAAGCATCCCAAAATATATACATATATGAAGGTAATCACAAGAGAAACAAAGCCCTAACTGGACACCTCTCATTATCAAATGAAGCCTCCAGAACTGTGAATTGGTTACTGCTAATTGAGTTTTGGCTGAAGGGGTCCCATGGGAACCTCCACACAACCCAAGCTGTTGCTGAAGCTATAGGCAGCTCTCCACAAACTATCAACAAGACCCTATTGCTGAAAATAATAACTACACAACTCATTGAACATGGAAAGGTATAGCTGGTGCCTACATAGAGCCTTCACACCTCTTTACTAGTATTCATGGTACTGGAAGGTATTCTGTTTACTACCAAAGAAGGGAGAAAGGTAAACACCAAGCCACTTATAAACCCTTTGATCAAAAATGGTGTCCTGCCTGCAATACACATCAGTGCAATGATGGCACAAAACTTGTGGAAGCAACCAACTCATTATTTTGACATGATGGAATCTATACCCAATGCTGCTTAGGTGGCCAAGAACCTGAGACTAGTCCATGGACCTAGGGGAAAACCAAATACTACTGTTCTACTAAAGAAACATAGCAATAAAATGATTCCTAATGACAGCCAGCTGTACTCATTGTGATATGAGTGCCTTTCTCAGCCATAATCATAGAAGTTTCCTCCTAAAGCAGATGTAAACAAACACAGAGATCCATACCCA